AGAGAGTTGTGACTTTGGGACTTGACGACATTGGATCCAGACTCGACATTGGGATTCAGACATTTGACGAGGGATTATTTGGGGCCTGTGCCGAAAACTTGGTGTTGACGACATTCCCATCTTCCCCTCTTCTTCGTCTAACCCCCCTCTTCTTCATCTGTGTATGGTTGGGGACTGGCGCATTCTTCCTGTGTGAGCGCCAGGCCCCTTCACACCATGGAATGATGATGATGTATATCTGGGGCTGCATTGCAACATTGATTGTTCGGATCATTGGTATCTAAGTCTTCCGCTACGCTATGTTGTACTTTGTGAGAGAGGTCGGTTCTTGTTCTAGTCTGCACCGTTACGGTATGCGACACATAGCCTAGCCCTGTTCGAAGTGGAAGAATAGGGAGGGCATGGCTATGGTGGACCTCTTGTTGTGCTGGCAGTAAGAGGGAACTTTGGATATTGGTTCTGGCTCAACCATTCACTGTTATTGTTATTATTTGGTGAAGAATAAGACTGGTGGAGATAAGGATGAGGAGGAGAGTGGAGAGAGAAGGGGGCATTTGTCAGTGGTCTTGCTGGTGTACATCTTGTCCTTTCGTTCTTCTTCTTTCTTCCTCTTGGGTCTCTATCGCTTTGCAAGTGCTTTCATTTCTTTTGCAATTGAGTGGAATTGTCTGAATTTGCACTTCGGAAGGCCAGGATCGTAACACCAATGATTATGCATCGACACAAGCCCAGCTACAAAAGCACGCATAAGGGAGACGAGTGAGTGGTATGATCGATTGATTGACTGACTGATTGATTGATTGATTGATCAATTGGTTGGTTGGTTGGTTGGTTGGTTGGTTGGTTGGTTGGTTGGTTGATTGATTGATTGATTGATTGATTGATTGAGAGATGGATGGACGGATGGGTGGGAATGGATGGATGGATGGATGGATCCATGAATCAGGTATGTAGATTGATAACCCCCCAAGCAATGACTATCCATGGCCCCAAATCAGCTACAACAGCACATCACACAAAGGGACAGGGTTGTGGAAAGGCATGATCCATCAACCAATTGCTTGCTTGCTTGATTGGTTGAGTGATCTGTTGGTTGGTTGGTTGGTGGGTTGATCGGTTGATCGGTTGATTGAGTGACTGAGTGATTAGATTGATCGATTTTAAGATTCACTCACCCTTCTGCCCTCTGCATCCTGCGCAATACAGTGCAAAAGTGCCATGGACTTGCGGCGAATTTTCCGGTTGTTGGACCTGAGGAGGGCACAAATAAGCGCAAGTGAACCTTCCTGCGTGATGAGCTCTTTGTTGTCATCGCTGTCAACACACCAGAGGTAGATGACCGTCAGACCCTTTGAATGATCCTCGTCTTTTTCTGACGACAAGAGTTGGCTTGTCCAGCTTATGAAATTCAGCCGCAGAGACTCGTCGGGCTCCAACTCCAGTGACCGCAGCTCGACCGATGTTGCAGGGCAAGTCTTGTTCCCGGCACGAATCCATCCCTCTATTGCTCTTCTCTCAAACGTTGCACCCGAGCCAAGAAGAAGCACCTAACACAAAATACCGAGTCGGAGAAGCATCAAGACAGTGGTGGGGGAGAGAAAAGAAAAGAAAAGAACAAAAAAGTCCAAGAGAGACAAAGTGAAAGCAAAACACGAGATGTCAGCCAACATAGTTCATTAAATGTATACAATGATAAGCAGACCTGCCCAATCCAAAACACAAGGGGGGCAAAAAACGAAATCACAGAAGAACGTGAGGAGGGAGCTGTGTGGATGCCAGCTACGGCGGCGGGGAAATGTGGGAAGGCTAGCGGACGGCAGAGTCGCAGGTTAGCACTGAGTCTCTGCTGAGCAAGGTTCCGTTTACCGTGCTTCTGCGAGGTTCTTTTTTGCCGCTCGGACTTCACCATGGCAACTATGGAATAACTGACACCTGGTTGCTTTTCTTAAGCGGAGTAGCTTTTTGCATCATCCACGACGCTGCATTTGGAGCGCGTGAAGAGCCTATCAACCACACCTTCAACGGCAGCTTCATTATCACATGTTCTCAACTACACCTAGTATCATCATCGGCATTTTGCTGGATTATGGCAAATGATCGATGGACAACCAATGGGATGACAGAGTGAGTTTGGATGACACACGACTAAATGGATCATCTGTGACAGTACAAGATGGGGGGTTTCTTAAAGACTCGCACACGGATGGCTTTCCTTTTGGAAATGCTGAAGAGCGTTCAATCGGATATTCAACCTCCTCTTTATCTGCCTCCTCTTTTATCCCCCTCTCTTCTCCCACTCCCACCTCCTCCTCCTCCCCCTCCTCCGCTATTTCAATACCAACTGCCACTCTGTTGACTCCCCTTTCAGGGTTGATGAAGAACGCTCAATCACATAGGCAACCTCCTTCCTCTCCTCCTCCTCCTTTTATTTATGCCTCTCCTCATCCGCTTTACTCCCTTCTCCTCCACCTCCACTTGAGAAAGGGGGTGTGAACGGAAGAGAGGGTTAACCACAAAAGGAACCCAGGGTTTACTCGACACTAGGATTTTCATGGATGTATCTGACCTCGGCGACAACCAGATTCTCCCTAGAAAATTTGAGGGCGAGTACGTCCTTGAAGGCTTCAACACAGATTTAAATGTTCCTTGAACAGAGCAATGACGACAGAAACACGATCAGCTCACCAAATCTCCGATGGATCACCAAGCTTCTGCAAATGCCACTGGGACAGAGAGTGTCAAGCTCGGTAGAGACGGGGGTCTAAGCGGGCAGGAGGACAAAGAGCTTGGCAACAACCTACCAAATGAAATCCTTCCCGTGTAGAAATTTGTTTCTGCCCTAACGACTGGTTGGATATAATCACTTCAGTGCTAAAATATCCTATCATTCTTATGCCACTTGGTCGGCCAAAGATCCTTTGCTGCCTTAATTCGAGCTGCAGTAACACATATACCTGACACAACTCTACTGTCTTCCCCTAAACACAATGCACCCTGACTATCAACACCAGAGAGAATTCGTCTGTGCGGCTGTAACAGAGCCATGCAGAGCATCCGAGGTTCAAAAAAAACAAAAAAAAGATACTATTCAACCGCAGGGCTAACTCGTGTTTTTCTGTTTTCTCAGAAGACCCCTCCAGCGGCCTGTAAAGGAGCATGGCGAGTGGGGTACACCCCACCCCCATTCAACACCCCATGCATAGGGTGTTATAAGCTTGCACGACCCCAACCAAAAAAAAAAGTAACATTGCAGGGATGACTCAAGGGTTTGCAAGACACGATACACTTTCACACGGTACCTCCTGAAAACCTGGTCATCCAGCTGCAGGCAGGGTTCGTACAGAGGTTGTTCAGGCCCCTGCAGGGATTACCAAGGCTTAAAAATGGCATGGGGTAAGTTAGGTAAGAGAGCTGTGCACAGCAGCACATGGTGCACAAACTGTGGCCTGGGGCTCATAGCATAAAGGCACCCGCTGAGGCTGCTGTATCTCAATCGCACAGTCAACCGTACACTGCCAGGAACAATCTTTGTATGAACCCTGCCTGCAGCTGGACCTACAGGTTTTCAATAGGTAGTGCGCAAAACTGTACAATGCAGTCGCAAATCCAATGGGGGGGGGGGGGGGGGAATCCAATGGGAAGCAAATGCGAGGAACGAGCTCCCACGGGCCCCTATCAGACATCACATGTTCTGGGCAAAGGCCCCCAGCAAGCCGAGTGCCCGCCCTAAGTGAAGGCGGGCCTGAATATTCGTCAGAGGCCAAAATTTCCACACTTCCATATGTGGGTATTCAGGCTCTTGCAGCACGCCAGTTGGTTGAGTAGACGTGTGAGCCTCACTAAGCTGCATCGTACAGTTGGCCCAGGCCTTGACAGTTGCGCCTGGGCACATACGTACGAAGCAGGGCCAATACATTGAGAAGCAGGCCATCAGCCTATGCAAAAGCAGTACTGTCGACGCACCTACTTGGGAGCCCTGCACAGATGCAGCAAACAGCCCAAGTCCGGGGACTCAGGCCGTGCCCAACTGTAACGGGGCCCAGGCCCTCAACTGTAGCCTCAGGCCTGGGCGCAGGGACTGAGGCCCAACCGGAAGCTACTGAAAGCTTCCAGCCAGGCCACACGCAGCATCCAGGAGGCTGCCACTTCCATATAGGAAGTGAGGCCGCCCTGGCGGGCATTCTGGCCTGCGCAGGCAATGTGGTCACGCTGCTGCGCTGCTGCATTGGATGCTGCACTAATGGTCAGGGCGCTTGCGGGTGTGTAGAGGTGAAGTGGGGCGCTGCAGGGCAGCGGGGCGCAGGCAGCCATAGCTGGGCTGCTGGGCGCCAGGGGGTAAGAGGGCGATCTGGTGGTCTTCAGGGAAGGAGGCGAGTGTGGGTTATCAAGGTCTGTTGAGGGTGACGAGATACGTACCTGGTGCATGAAGAGAGGTCGGCTATGGTGTGGACATCATGTACATTGGTCTTCGAGAGTCGAAGTGAGCCCGTTACGTGAACATAGCTGTGGGTAGGATAGTCAAGTAGAATAGGCTGGGCGCTGGGCGCCAGACAGAGAGGAGCGACTTTGGATACTGTGTTGGTGTGGCCTAAGGGCTTGAACCTTGGCTCATTACTTCATTGTATTGCTCTATTTAGATGGATTCTCGGTGCAATTACGCTCTCTGCTTGTACACGCCTACTTGGTCATCTGTGTGATTTCGCAACTTGGTTTTCTGTATATCGTTCACACTCATATTCCTTGCAATTTGGTATCGGAGCCGGTTCGTGATTGCCGCTTACCTGGCGCTGGTGACATTGTTACTTGGTGCGCTGACGATGCTTCATGTGCAGTAAGGATACTTTGGCACTGGCTTGTTATAGCGGGGCCCAGGTGGCCGGCCGCTGGAAGGCTGTGGCGACAGCATGGGAGCTGTGGCGACAGCGGGTGTATGTATGATGATGAGAGTATGCTGACGTGGCATTTTGGCTGAGGTGGCACTGCATTGCATTGTGGGTGGTACCGAGGCTATTGACCAGTCATTGAAATGCACGTCGGCCCAATTGGTGAGAAATCTGTGGTAGGGGCAGCTATCTCCAGGTACGTTGTTCCCATTCCTTATCTACCCTCTCTTCTTACCATGGGGAAGTGAGTCCAACTTGAGTGTCCTCGCTTTGGTGAGGAGTCGTGTGAGCTCTATCTTGAGAGACGACATTCTTCCCGGTGGCGCATCTGGCAGGAGAGGGCGGTCCCTCTGAAGGGCCCTGGTCGAAGCACGGGTCACGGTCACCATGCCAACCCATGGGCGTAGTACATGCAGGCCATGCTGTTTTGTCCTTTGAGGCTCTTTGCTGCGCTGATAGAAGGGGTGTGCGGACTGACCAGTCCTAAGCAGACACTCCCAGACCGTCTATAAACATTTCTGGTTGGGGTCTGAACTGAAACGGTACTCACCTGTTAGCAGTAGCAAATGCAGATCCTAGGGCTCGATCCCTAGTTCTTACCTTACCTGTGTACAGTACCTGTGTCGACCCCAAGAGTTGAACCCCTGACCTGTGTATTCGCAACAGTTGGTAGGCTGTCGTAGGTCCGTAGGTTGTAGGGGTTCGATCTGTAGAACTGCCGGATAGAGGTCTTAGTGAGTTCTAGAAGTCGTAGCTGTAGCTCTTTTGAAAGGTCAAGTTCGTAGCTGCTACAGTGCTGAAAGGTCAAGGTCGTAGCTGCTACAGTGTCGAAGGGACAAGTCCACAGACTTCCGGAAGGTCCGAAAGTGGCCCGTCCAACGTTGCTCACAGCAAGACTGGAGGCAAGTGGGCAAGTGGTGAAGTCCACCCTTGCTGAGTCAGCGGTACCGGTCCCAGTCAGTCAGAGTCCAGTCAAGCAAGTACCGTATGAAACTGTGTGCACCAAGGGCATGGAAAAGGGGCAGACCAACGAGTTACAGAAGTATAAATCAGGAGGCAGCGCCAAGCCATTCATTCATTCCTGCGTAAGCCATGCGGAAGCGCTGCTTGAGCGACTTGTGCGAGGTGGTCTGCAGAGCGCCCGAAGACTAAGTGGGCACAGTAGAGGTTGCGTAGCCATAGCCCGCAGGGTTAAGTGGCCATAGCCGCCGTAGGTGGTAGGCGAGTGTAGTGTGTGTGTGTGTGTGTGATACAGTGTGTCGTGTGTGGGATATCCAGGGTGATCCTGAGTTGAGTGTGTGTGAACAGCGGAGTTGAGCACAGTGATGAACAGAGAGTTGTACAGGCGCTGATGTGCCATAGCCTGTTGAAGCGAGCATGTATCTGAACTGTGTTTCCGACTTCCATATCTCTGAGCTTTGAGTGGGCGCTAAGCGCCAGTGTGACTTGCCATCTGTTTGCGTGAATGCGAAGTGGAAAAGAAAGCGAGTCTGATTGCAGAACTGTCCACTGGCTGTGATCGTCGACCTGATTGCGATGTTAAACAAGGACTCTCGGGGGCTGTCCTTAAATTGCCTTTGATCAGCCAGATCAGTCAGACATAAGGCTCGTTGCATGCGAGGGTAAATAACGGGCAGGCTGGTCATAAGCATACGTCTTGGGCA